AGAAACAGAAGTTGACCTTTAATAATTTTAATTTTTAAAACTGCTGTTAATGTCTACAGAAGATAAAATATGCTAATAGTAGTTTAACAAAAAAATTAAATAAATTTCAGATTGCTACATATTAGATATTTGTTAGCCAAGTTCAAAACAATGTTTAAGATCTTACAAGCAACTCTTTGGAAAACATATTACCTCAAAACTTGCACTGCCACCCAGAAACCTAATTTGGGTAACAAAGTTCCTGGATCTTTTCCCAAAAGTATTTCCTGCCTCTAAACATCAGTATTACAAAAATTCATCAAATAAAACCTAAATTAATGGCAGAATGAAATCGAAACTTCAAGACAACTGAAGGAAACAGTATATATAGATAATAATACAATAATAGATATCCCTTGCTGAGTAACTACAAAATTACAAAGCAGTTAACATTATAAATCTCACTTCAAAGAAGGAAAACATATGAGATAAACATTATTTGGGCTGGCGAACTTGACCAGACATCACAACTAATGTTTTATCTTCAGACCTTTCCTTCTATCTGCCCTTCCTGCTTTCCATCCATTAGTAGTCAGGCTTAGCCTTGTTCCAGAAAACATTTAACATGATTTTCTAAAGATGTATAAAATTGTAAAATAAGTCAAAATTAAAAATTAACTTTTCAAAGCTGTATGTGTGGAAAATATATTTAATAGAAGAAAATTAGAAAGCATAAACCAGTATATTAACAGTGGCATTCTTACAGAAAAATTTTTTGTTATTCAATTGTATGGGATCTTTTTTGGAAAATTTTCTTCAGATTTAGAGTTAGAATAAATTTACAATTAGACACACATATGTATGTGTACACATGCATGTGCATTTTTGTCTTAAACAGGTGAGAGTCATGCAGGAAAGAGAAAAGTGAAAAAGAAAGATGGAACAGAATTGAGATTCATTAGTACATGAAACAAAGTAGAGACAGGTCGCAACACTGGCTCTAAACTTGCTCATGGTTCTCTGAGATAATCAACTGATTCCCACCAGCAGCCGGATGAGTGAGGGGATGGACATGGTTGAACCAAGAGCCAAACGTTGATTCTCTGCTCCTTTCTTGGTGACTAATAATGCACATTAATATAAATAGGGTTTTGAGACATAATAGAATAAACAAATATGCATACATTGGTTTAACCAAGTATTTCTTAAACATATTTGCATGTGGATCCTCCTTCTGCTGGTGAACCTTTTGGGGGAAACCCTGCACCCCACTGTTTACACACCAACCACTAAAGCACAAGTGGAGACACCACTGGAGGAAAGACATAAAAGAAAACAAAGTGTTACTTCTGGCGCTTGGTCAACAGAGAAATCCACCCCTGTGTTTCATAATGGAAGCTCAGTGGACCTGCAGTTATATAGATCATTTAATTGCACATGTTCCATTTACAGTTTGGAGCCCAATCCATTTGTGTAGTGGGAATGAGCCAACAGGCACTCTGTCCCAGGCACCCCTGAAAGAGGAACCAGAAGGAGCCAGCAAGGACTGAATTCACACGTCAACTCCAAATTCCAAGTGCTTTGCTTAGTTCCCTGCCCAGCCTGAACTGTGGCCAGCAGCATCTCTGAAAGGCTAGGGTACTTAGGTTCAGAGCTCAGAGCTGGAACGCGCATTAGCGTATCACAGGACCAGCAAACTTGACCCTTGACTCCCATCATTCCCAGACATCCCACTTCTCAAGAGACTTTAGGCAGGCGGGCTCAGGTCTGGCAGGCCAGGACTAGGGGAGCCAGCAGACAGATTCACACCGTGACCTTTCTCAGCCATCCCTCCTTTGTGGACAGATGTATTGAAGACCTATCTCCCAGTGAGTAGAAGGAAAGAGGAGGAAATTAGCAAGAATGAAGTCAAATTCAATCTCAAACCCATACTCAGAAGAATCTAATGTACTTTCACGATCTCTTAACATGGTATGCAGAACATTTTAAATTGTTTAGTCCTTTTAATTTTTCAATATTTACATCTTTAATAATAATTCCCACTTCATGGATATGTGCAGACAAATAATATTTTGGTGTATGGACATGTTGTAACTAGGGAATGTCAAGTTTTCTTTATATGGAACCAGCCAAAATAACTTTTGGAACGCATAGCTATCATGGTATAAACAATGTTACCAGAGATGCTTCAATACTAATCTGCACTGAAGTAAAGCCTGTAGTGAGAATATTAGCAGTGGTTTATTTATTTTTATCTGTTTCTCCAAATTCTTTCCCAAGGAGTTGCAGTTTCCAAAATCAAAAGGAGATTTGCTAAAGTGAACAAACAGAATAGAAAGAATTTACAAAACAAGGCTTGCTCTATCAAAATCAGAACCAGTAAACACATTCCACTTATGTAATCCATGCATTCACTTGTTTTATTATAAGACCTATGAGTTTAAATACAACATACAAGTAAAAATTGTTACTGCAACACAAAGTATAATAGTTTTCTTAAATTATGAAGCTAATTGATTTTTTAATGGACTGTTCACTTGTATCTTGATGCTACAAAATTTTAATTCTTGGCCTCCTGTATGTTGTGAATTCATCATAGTCCACCAAGTTCCCAGAAGCACTGCATCTTTAGAGGTACAGAGTTGGAGATTAAAAGCAACACTGAGAAGTGAACTGTGCCTTAGGCAAATTACTGATTCAAGTGAAACCATTATTTAAAAATCACTTTCTGCCTGGAAATATGTGACTATGCAGGATAAAAGTATTTTGGAAAACACTGATAGAATTCTTCACTGAAACACAGCAATCATTTTAAACTACCAAAAAAAAAGGGAGTATTTAGAATATGAAAAATGGTATAAAGGAAGCTATCCCCTTTGGCTGGCATCACACAGGGGAGAAGTATAATGTTTCTTTCTATCACTCAGATTGTTTTCTAACTAAATTACAGGTTTGCCTGTGGATAAATCTGAGTTCATACATTTACCTGGTATATACTCTTCCTTTAAGGACAAGAAAGTCTTTGGGATAGAAGTTTATACTACTAAGCAATTAAATGCTGTATTTCACTAAGGAACACTATGATCCTTAGTGAGTTTATTAATAAGTTTGAAGAAGCCAAATTGGTGAGGATTAGAGAGTTCTAGAAATCAAGAAAGATGGAATGATTTTTAGAAAATAAAAATTGGGGATGTATTATAGAATTCTACCGCTGAAACCTGTATATTTTATTAACGACATCACCTCAATAAATTCAATAAGAAACAAAAAGGGAAATAAAAATTGGAAAAGAACCATAAAAATAAAACCAGACTTGCACCATAAATTAAAAGCCCATATTTTTTCCACTTCCTTAGTTTATACTTTGAAAAGCTACAGAGTTAACTATCCTAGCAAAAAGAGAAACTTCAAAAGTACTAGAAAGATGAATGAGAAACATCCAAATATTAATTGCTTTTAAAGAAAACTGTGGTAGAATACCCTTTTTGGTTCATTCACTGTTTGCATAAAACTGACAGCAGCCCAATTCTACAATCGCAGTAGACTTGACAAGATTCTGGACTATCATCCTAGCCATGGATAATATTTTGTTTTATAACTTTGATCAAGGCACCAGAAACTCCCTTACAGCCCAGGTTATTTGAAATAAAAAAGAAATAGAACTTCCTGCTGTGGGAGCTGGGAAAACGAGATGTGATGACACAGAGGAGCTCACTGTCTGGGCCTGTCACCTCCAGCAACCAAAGTGTGGCATGGCTTTCTCATCCCCTGGCAATTACAATGAAATATTCTCATCAATTGCTAAAAAATGGTTTCCAAGAGTCTGCTGAAAGTAACTCTTCACTCATTTCATTAGCCTGGGGTTCTCAACATGGAATAAATCAACAATAGATAATGTAGGGGTTCAGAACCAGTCTCCCCAGAATGTGCAACTTTGGCATGCAGATCATTTTGAGCTAAAGACAACCGAGGCCCCCCCAAATTCAGGAAAGCCTTGTGCATCCCCCTTAACTGCCTAAAAGAACTGAAATACAGGGCTTGGTCTAGGAACGCAACTATCACCAGAAATGACTAAAGAATACGAGCCAGGTGGAAAACTGGGGGACTTATTGGTAACGTTTGTTTGTTCCAAGTCCTCTCTGTGTCTCTTGTCTCTGCTTGATGCAACAAACATGTGTTTACCAACCATCTTCTTTTCCATCTTCCTGTAAATTGTTTTCCTCCCCTTTGAGGCACCAGACACCTACCCCCTTCTCCTTAGCTCATAATAGCACATAAGCCTTGATCACCTGAGTACTTGGGGTCTCATAGTCTCATGCAGCCCCCCATAATTAGGGAATTAAATGTGATTTTCTCCTATTAATCTGCCTTATGTCAATTTAATTCTTCAACCAGCAAGAAGAACCTAGGAAGGCAAAGGAGAAATTTTTCCTTCCCATCAATAACAATCTTTCTGGAAGAGATGGAATAAAATTTAAGTAAAAAATGTTACAAAATGAGAGGACAGTAGTATAGAGGGATAAGGCAGAAATAAATGGCAGGTTTGAAAGGAAAACAACAGAGTAAAAATTAATAGCCTCCTCCATTTTTATTATAAGTAAAAATGTTTTAAATGAGATATAAAAATTCAAATAATTTCATTTCAAGATCAATATTTCTTAAAAATTAATATAATACATACTCAAAGATGAGTGAGACAGGATTCTAAATACTTCTTTGTGATTTTAGAAGTGATCATAGATTCAGTTTTAATTTATGCATCTAATGCCTTACTATCTCCTTTGCAAAATATCTCAACTTAAACCAATAAAATTCATTTTAATGCCTCAAATAAATGCAAGGTTTTTCTTTTAATCTTTCTTTATGTTATATTAATCCCATACTGTCAGTATTTGGATTCACACAGAAAAAATATCAATTTAATGCAAATTCTTTATTTTTAAAAAAAAAAATAAGAAAGAGTAGAAAGAAAAAAAGAACCTCTCTCTAATGAGGTTTATAATCACATAACTGAAGTCTACCTCTCCTGTTCCTGCTTCATTCGTATTCTCTCCTCTTCTGAAGTAAGGGTGTCCTGTATTTTTATTTTACCCGTTTTCTCAATCTTGTCATCTTTTCGATGTTTGCCAAACCTGTTGACAACAAAAAATTCTAACTTGTCAATATATACAAAATGAGTCGTCCTCTGATAAAGACATAGGTACCCAATGAAATGTAAGCTCCCTCAAAATAAGGGCCAAAATATCTACAGTTCACTGAATTTGCACAGTATTAATATATTTAACTGAATTACTTTATTCATTTTTAATTAAAACTTTCCAGGGAAAACCCTTTTGGAAAATGGCCTCAATACCCATTTTTCTTTTACCAAACAAAAATAAACAGCAACACAATAACAGAAATGTTGAGTTCATCTTTATTAAAGAAATAATTAATCAACGTGTAGGACTGAGTGCCAAATACCTTAGATGCTGGAAAATTAAAGTCTGTATTGTAGTGGGTTTCTCTTAGGACTGAGAAACGATAATCCACAATCATCTGTTTTATAACCTCTCCATAAACAACTATTCTTTATTTTCACAGTCAGGTTTATTGGAAACATTCATCATAGTTTAAAAACTGACAAGGCCATGTTTGCCAGGTTTAAAGCACAAAGGATAATTCACAGCGGTAAAATACTTTTAGCTTATAAAATTGAAAGCTTTACTTTTCCTAAATCTGATGGAAAGCAATTATCGAAGGGAGACTCTTGGATTTGGAAATTTACCTCTGATAAAAAAACAAACACATGCATGATTCAAAAACAGTCCACACAAACTCCCACAGACAGGCATTGAACTTGAAGCTAAGAAAACACTAACAGTATCTTCTGCGTCAAAAATGTCTCAGAAACCTCAGACTTGGTATCAAAATTTTTTTCCTGCTCTATTATTTTCCCCATAAAAAGCCATGTTGTCTGGAATGCATGTGCTACATACCATTAAATAATTTTCATCTATAATACTTTGGTCACCAGATGTTTCAAAAAATATTTTATAAACAGTTACTCAGCTAAGCATTCATAAATATGTAAAGTATGAGAGTACTTCTGAGGACAAAGTAGAAACCTGGCTTTTGGTGACACTCATATGACAAAGAGAGCAGTAAAGGATAGGTTCAAAGTTGAAATAAAAGAGAGAAAAGTATTGCAATTAATGGCTTCATTAGTAGCATAGGTCATTATTTTATTAATACAAGTCTGATATCAAATAGTGGTTGATATATGAAGTGTGCATGGGAACATCTTATATATTAAGTGAACTAACATTATGTTTGCAGAGGTACATGAGGAAGAAAAAGCATCCTTAAAACAGAAAAATTAAAACACTACTACCACCATTACTTTCAAAATCATGTATATTACGAGACAGCACTCAAAACTGGCTGTAAAATTAACTTCTATAAAGCAAATTTATCCTTAAATTTAAATGTTATTTACAAACTGGAAGATCATTTCAATTGCCAAAAAAGGAAAAAAGGGAAAAAAGGAAACAGTCCCCAAGAACTTAAGCCCAGCATCTGACTACTTCACACAAGGGATAAAATACATATTATGCTTTTAAAACTATTAAGTACAAAGCACAAAAAATAAAAACTTTCTCTTTCCTTAATTTTTGTTATATTAATAATGCTTAAATGTAAGTATAATGATTGAGTTTATAGAATGAATTAAAAAAATGAGAGAACATGCTTTATATTATAAAAAATGGATACATCTCAGTAGAAGCCAACATTAAAACATAATGTTTGTTCATCTGACAAAAGTTGATTGAGCATTTACAGAGAATTAAAAATAAAAACTTTATTTTTAAAAAGAAGTTCAGGGGAGATTAACTGGAGTGTCATCAGCATGTAGACTACATTTAAAGCCCATGTGAATTCCCATCCTAAAATCTGCACCAACGGGGCACTTGGAAATATAAAATGTATTAAATTCTAACTTTAAGAAAAGTGTAAGTTCAAATCTTAACATATGATATTTGTTTATAATTAGGTACTCCTAAAGGTAAAAAATTTTAACCATTTAGTTCTTCAGTTCATAAATGTTCTTGAAATGATACAATGCTGCCAATATTGCCTTATTTTGTTTTGCTTTTAAAGGCATTCTGGCAGTTCACATTATGGAGTACATATATTCACCTCTATATCATATTTGAGGAACATTACTTACTGACACAAGATACATTCTGTATCTGTACCAATACTGTAGTTTAATCGTATAGGAACATCATTTTTATCTGCCCCTTGAGTTAATAGTAAAAGGAAAAACTGAAAGTGATTTTTACATGTTTCAAAACCGTTTAGATATTTTCAGCTCCAAATCTAACACTGAGTTTAATTAGCTATATTAAATCGTTTTTTAAACGGTCTTGGTCCTACTACTTTGTAAAGACAGTTTAAGTTTTATATCTAAGTCTACCAATTTTCACCTTTTTTATCTTATGTACACAAAATTTTAAAAAATAGAATAGTAGCTCATATTTAAGAACCACATTTTTCTCATTGTATTGGTATTAAAATAGTTTCCTACACTATTCCCTAATCTATTTTATTACTTGTAAATTTATTACCAAACTGTTACAGTATACTTTCCTTTTTTTAAATTATAGATTCAATTATTGTATGAAAGAGTAAAGAAATTGCAGATGAAATGTTTGTGGATTAGCATTGGAACACTTTTCTTAGTACCTGCTTTAGTTAATAAATTATGTAATTTCTTTAAGGCATACTATAAAATTACAGCTATAACTTTCTGATAAAATGAAGAACGGGCTCTAAGTGAAATTAAAAAAAGTATATCAACCATTCTACAAAATAAAAAGGAAAAATTAAGTAGCTACACCTTAATTCACTCTACTTCCCAATATATTCTAGTATTTTTCTTAATTTACAGTTACTTAACTCTTCCCAGAAAGAGGGGAGGGGAATGAAAAATTTCAGTTACACTACTCAAAAAAGTCAGCTTCACAGCTAAAATCAGTAACCAGCCTATGAAGACAATCACTTAGTACCAGGTGCTAAAAACTTGGAAGATATCGGTTACATTTATTTTCTCTTTTAAAAGCCACTGATGAATTTCAAATGGGCCACTTTCCAAGGAACAGCACAGTTGAAAAAAATATTGAACTAATGGTACTAGGAAGCAAACACATTCTAGAGAATCGATTTTATGAGCTGACTCCTGACTAACACACACAAACGTTTGCATGGGAAACTCTGTCATCCGGCAGATATGATGCTGAAATCGGAGGTGCCCACATACACCCCAAGATCCTTTCTTTAAAAAAAGAGAGCAAGAAATGCCCTGACTGGGCTGGCTCTGTTGGCCGGAGCATCATCCCCCACACCAAAAAAGGTTGCAGTTTGGGCCATGGTCGGGCACGCACTGGAGGCAACCGACTGATGTTTCTAACATCCATGTTTCTCTCTCCCCTCCTGTCTCCCTTCTCCTCTCTCTAAAATCAATAAAACATGTCCTCAGGTAAGGATTAAAAAAATAAAAATCCCTGCTCTCATGAAGCTTGCACTGTAGGACAAGGAGGCTGAGAGTAAAAAGAGAGAAAGAAAAATAGAAAGTTTCAGAAAAAGTTGATAGTACTGCTGCCTGGAAATAGAAGGGTCTCTAAAAATTATGCCAAAAAGCCATGGAAGATTCATTCACAGAAAGCTCTAGATGAGCCATGTCTCATCAGAACAGAATTGATTGTAGCATCTCTTAACCATATGGCTTTCTTTATGGGGAATACAGCAATGTTTTATTCAGCCAGAGGAATCTCAAAGCCATTCGCTAAAGGAGTTGTCCTGTGACACCTCATAAATGCGATCACTGTCCCCCAAGGGGTCCGCCGCAGGTATTGTTATGGTGAAGGACGAGAGGCAAACCGCGCTCGGGTGCTCCGGGAAAGCCGAAGTAAACACCACTGCCACGAAGGACTGTGACAAAATTCCAGTGCTTTTATACAGAAAGAACTGTCAATAAAACTGAACTATGGATAAAAGTTTCATGCTAAACCACCATTTTGGTTTTTAGTAAACCTAATTCTTTCTGCAGTGTAAATGGCATAGAAATGTTTTACTATATTTTATACTGATAACAATATTAGAGATCTTTAGAAAAAATAGGCTGAATGAAAAAATAAAAATACAATTGGTTTTGTAATGAAAGGGCTTTTCTTAATACCATATTCAAAAATGCAACACAGTAAAAGAAAGTCTTAAAAACCTGCTGTCATTTAAAAATAGATGAGGAGACTATCCAGAACCAATTATCTTACACACTCTGTGGACTAATATTTAAAATTAAGATTTTTCTTTAAAAAAAAAAAAACCTCACTGAAATGTCACTTAGAAATCTGGTATTACCAAGGTCTTCATGTGTAAGAAGGGCTTTTCTACAATACTTGTCTTACTTATTTTTTGCAATTTTTAAAATTCATATTTTTACTGTATTTTTTTCCATTACTATTTAGGCCCCTTCTACCCCTCTACTGCCGCAATCACCACACTGTTTGTCCATGTCTAGGAGTCCTTTTTCCTTTTTGCTCAATTCCCCCGCCTTAGCTGTCACCCTGCTCTCTATCCATGAGTCTCTACTTTGCTTGTTGGTTCAGTTTGTTCATTAGATTCCACATAAGGCCACAGTAATCAAAACAGCATGGTACTGGCATAAAAACAGACACCATAGATCAATGGAACAGAATAGGGAACCCAGAAATAAACCCACACCTTTATAGTCAATTAATAATCAACAGAGGAAGCAAGCACATACAATGGGCTAAAGATGGTTTATTCAATAAATGTTGGTAAAATAGGACACATATGTGCAGAAAAATGAAACCAGATTACCTTTTATACCACACGCAAGAATAAATTCAAAATGGATTAAAGAGTTAAATGTTAGGTTCAATACCATAAAAGTCATAGAAGAAAACATAGGTAGCAAAATCTCAGACCCTGTCTTACTTTTTATCCTTAGACATGCAGGTTAAATGATACTGCTCAGCTAAGGAAGGGAACTGAATATGGGTCAAGTGAGAATGCAGTGTCAGCCACCAGAAGACATCTATCCTCCCTCAATGCCCAGTTCCTGCCT